GAATGATACCATCATCCCTTATGTCAACTCCGTTTAACAAACACTCCATTGCTATTTCTCACTTCCATATATAATAACAATAAATAATCAATGAGATTAGATTAAAATAGATAAATTAAAGCATATTAGGTTTGGATCTTTGATTATTATAATTACCATTGGAACAATCATACAGATCTCCGGGCTCTCCATTTATTGTGAAGGCGTCTGAAATGTTGGGGTCGCCACCTGTTGCAAGGGCCTCTTCAATTATTTCATTCACATCTCCCTTGAACCAGGATCCTGCCATTAAACCAGATGAAAAAGGAATTTAAATATTAAGACCCAATGGTGCAACTATACGATGCAACAATTTTGTGTTTATTTTTGCTGCAAACTTCAAACTTCTATAAGTAACACCAAAAATAACTCTAATCAAAGAAATATTTTTATTTTCATATTTGTAGTTATCGCATGGTCTGCACTCCTGGTAAATATTGTAAATATTTCCTTTTCATATATGTGGGGAAATTAGCTAAAACATAGTTCATATCTTTACTTTTCTATAAATAATAATCGGGACAAATCAAAAGTATGCTACAAATTCAAAGAGTATTTCACCAATTTACCCTAAATAAAAAGTACCTAGAATAAGTGTTTCTTGTGCATCTGGCGTTACAAATGGATAACTGGTGTTGAGAGCTGGTAGAATAATGATGGCACCATGAACAGTGGCACGTGTCCAATCACTGTGAGCATGCCACCATAATGTTCCTTCTTCACTGGAGAATATAACTTCGTGCGTAAAGTTTGTTCCGGCAGGAATAGGGCATTGAGTTATGTTCTCGGGTCCATCCGACCATGGATTTCTCGGGTTTTTCACTCCATGCCTGTAAATATTAAACAATATTTAAAGTTTGGTGGTGCGCAAAATATTAGCCTTTCACTTTGTCATCATGCATGCACTCTAAATTTAAAATTCTATTATTTTAGAATGCTTAAAGAAGATATATTCCATTATAGAACACGTATAGTGTAGAATGATAATACGAACAAGTGTTATGACATAAGTAGATTTTTATGGATACTTTAAAAGAGAAACATGACACGTGTACAAACTATATTGCATGACCATACTATAGTCCAATTCTATAATTTCTCAATTAAAACGAGTCTAGAATCTTGATCTATGTCAAAAGAACACCGCAGATCTAGAGCTAGGCTAATAATGGGACTTACCAATGAATGGTGAGACCATATAATCCTTGGTTGTGGACATTCACAAAAGCAGTGTCTCCTTTCCGAACAGTGATGGTCGGCCCCGGAAAACTCCCGTTCACTGTTAAGATGCTCTTTGTGGTGCAAAGCTTTGTAAAATTTTCTTCTCTCAGCTGCAAAATATCACAAACAAAACCCAACATTTAATAACACAATTCTAGTGTCAACATGGTTTAGTCTCTGAAAAATCACATTGACTTGTAGATCAGTAATTTCAGGTTCAACACCTCATGATGTCTTAGTAGTGTGTTGTGAGAAACTCTTATTTGCCTATAGTTTAGACTATCACTTTTATTAAAATAATAATAATGACACAATTATAGTGAAATACCCATAAAAGATGTAAGCAAATTTTCCACACAAAAAAAAGGAAAATTCGATTCGATATATATATATATCCATTTGTATCTCCACACCATGCACGTATATATACAACCTACAAAGAAACGCAAGCGAAGATGATACATGCAGAGGCCTGTCAAACTGGTATTAGTGTAATGTAGGGAAGCGCATACATATATATATGTGTGTGTCTGTGTGTATCCACACCATGCACCTATACATACAACCTAAAGAAAAGCAAGCGACGATGACCATGAACATGCAAGAGGCCCTCAAACTGGTACTAGTGTAACGTAGGGAAGCACTTACAACAAAATCATAATTATAGATAGCTCCATTAGCCTTGCAAATCCCACCCAAGAGCATAAACCCTACAAAAGCCAAGACCCAACTCATATTGTTATACTTCCCCATTTTCAGATCTCCGAAAAATTGATTTTCCTATGTGTCCTTGAGGTTTTGTGAGTGCTATTTATAGAACATAAGGAAAAAGTTAAAAAAATTATTGTTAAAGCAAAAAACAACCTATGGAAAACGAAGCAAGGCACTGAAGGAAAACGTGGGGCGCCGCAAAATGGTTGTGGACCTGTACCGACTCTTCTTTTTGGTCAGCACTCAGATGGGAGAGTTGGGTGTCAATGGATATTGGCAGAAACTTTGGCTTTGAACTCATGAAATTCTGTGGATAGGCCACGGTTTGGGGTACCATGGCAGAGAGTAGACACAAGCGAAATCGAGAGAAGGCTCTGCATACCAACTGATGTAGAACAGCCCATAGGTATTAGAGTAAACACTTCAGCATTAGAACTGAGAAGAAATATAAGAGCACTATTAGTTTTCCAACTGCACTATGCTTGTCCGTGACAATTCCATATACTAGTACATAATTTGACAAACAAAAGGGCGTATATTAAATTTAATCATTCTTTAGTATATACTAGCATCTCTACATGCAAGACATGCGCTCTGCGCCATTTAGAGATTTTTCATGTAATATTTTTCAATTGTTTTCTTTGGTGTTTGGTGGTTGGATTCTACCCGTAAACCTGATCATGTTTTTTTTTTGGGTCAATAACCTAAGCATTTTTTGACTTAAAATCATGAATTCAAATATATAGAATTTTGATCATAATTGAACCTGAAAATACCTCTATGAATCCTGAGTTTAGGTATAAAAAAAAAAAACTAACAGAAAAATAAAGACAAATAGGTATCCAATCCTCCTATATTATCTTTGTTTTTGCTTGCCACAATCTGCTGGGACTAACAGAAAAATAAAAACAAACTTGTTTTTCTTTGTTTAATAATTAGTACGAATGTTCAACTTAGAAGCATGGTCCATTATGAAGTATGCTTACTGAAAGTTTGAAGTCCCAGCAGATTGTGGCAAGCCAAAAACAAAAATAATATAGGAGGATTGGATACCTATTTGTCTTTATTTTTCTGTTAGTTTTTTTTTTTTTATACCTAAACTCAGGATTCAGATTTCAGGTTCAATTATGAACAAAATTCTATTTATTTGAATTCATGCTTTTGAGTTTTATTCTTCATAAAAATGCTTAGGTTATTGACAAAAATAAATAAATAAGATCATGTTTATGGGTATGTAGAATAACCAACCACCAAACGTCAAAGAGAATAATTGCAAAAAATTACATGAGAAATCTCTAAACTGTGTGGAGCACGTCTTGTATGTATGAGAGCACGTGTAGAGATGTTAGTTTTCTTCAAAAAACCAAAAAAAAAAAAGGGCCCATTTGATTTCTCCTGCCTTTAATCCTCCAATGCGAACAATCAGCAGCCAACTCTTGCAAATTATTTGGAAGGGTTTTTAACTGTAGACGTCCATGAACTTTGCCCTCAGTTGCAATTGGGTTCGTGAACTTTTTTTTTTAGGCAATTACATCCTTTAACTCGACAAGTAGTTCCAATTGGGTCATGCCGTAATAGAATCCGTCGAGTTTGACCGTGTGAATGGCACGTGCGTTTGTTGTGAGGGGTATCTTGGAGTTTTCGTCATTTTGAACGAAACATAATCCAATTTAGGGCTGGAGAGAGGGGGAAAGCGCTTTTCGATCTTCCATACCTGTGAACCGACCCTTTCGTCAAACATTGGAGTTCAATTTGCTGCAGCAGTGACTGATCCAATGTTGAGTGAGTGAGAAATTTTATGTGTAAGCGTCGAAATTTGGGGTTGATTGGGGGGTACAATTAAGGGTTAAGGTTTCATTTTGGGGATATTTGGGTTTTTTGTCCTTTTGGCTGATGGTGATGGAAGAGTTTGATTTCCGTTAGGGTGGTGTTGCTCCTAAATACAGTAACTGATTCTACATGTTTGAATGCATATGAGTTGGTTTTGTTTTTGTCTATGTGGTCCATAACTTTTTAAGATTCCTTCCAGGCTTTGCTTTATACTGTCATTAACTGCAACATTTAGGGTTTTTTTTTATCCCTTCTTGTCTTCTATGCCTCACACCTTTAACTAAAGTTATTCCATAGCAATTATAAAAAAATCACCGAACTGTGTACTATATATTTTGATTTTGGTGCACAACATTGAATTAAAACATGATTTTGTCAGATTTTATTAATCCAAAACAAGTTTGTGTGTTTTAACATTATTTTGACCCTTGTTTACTGTGTAGGTAACCATGAAAAGTTTACTTTGGAACTTCACCATGAGGGTGTGTTGGAAAGTGGGGAGTATAAAAATGGAAAAGTTTGTTACATGGATAATGTTATAGATGATTTTCTGTGATTGGTGGACTTAACAAAGGTAGAGAAAGGGCTTGGTTACAATGTAGACATTTCCAACCCCAAACCAAATTTGGAAATATGGTATAGGAAGGGTGGAAAGCATGGTGCAGGTGGGCTTGAACTTATCAGCTCAAATGCTAAACTGGTTGACATGTTGGCCCAAATGCCATGTAATAGGATTGGTGTGTTGTACTATACTGAAGTGGGCAATTCTAATAGAGTTTGAAGTCAAGCATCTTTTAGGTGTCGTAGTTTGGATGGTGCAGACAATTATGCAGAGGTGCAAGACAACGTTCAGGTGGAAGATGAAACTGAGGTGCAAGACAAAAGTCAGGTGGAAGATGAAATTGAGGTGCAAGATAAAGATGAAGCTGAGGTTATAGACAGTGAAGAAGATGATGTAGAATTTGTTAATAGTGATTACGAGTTCAGTGAAGAAGAATTTGGGTTTAAGACAGTTGAAGTGTCTGTTCATGAAGGGGCATAGCGCACTATGAATGGTAACAATGAGGGGCCTACTTTTGAGGCTTCTGGAAAAGTGTCATCAGATGGTGAGCACACCTCAGATTTTGATACTCAAAGTGAGGGTGATGGGGATGATATGGAAGGGGATAATGAAGGGACAAGTAAGGTGAGAAGGAAAAAAAACTACCTCGGTTTAAGTAGCATAGGAGGGAGGTGGACTTAAAGAATCCTGAGTTTCATATTGGGATGCAATTTGAAAATAGACAAGTTCTTAAAGAGGCACTGAAGGAATATTCCATCATTGAAGGAATGTGGGTGTACTTTGAAAAAATAACAAGAGGAGAGTAAAGGAAATTTGCAAAGGAGGATTAAATTGTCCATTTGTGGTTTATGGTTCATAGATGAACCAAGATGTGCAAACATTTGCAATTAAGAAGTTGAGCTTAGAACATACACGTGGGAGGGTGGACAAGCTAAAGTTCGCTAATCCCAAATGTATTTGTGATAGATTTTCTAGCAAGATTAAGATAAACACATATTGGAATCTGAAAGTATTTCAAGGAGAAGTATTGCAGTCCTATCATGTGAGGGTGTCCAAAACTCAATTGTATAGGGCAAAGATATTGGCTAAAGCACAAATTGAAGGAAACTACATACAACAATATGCAAGGTTGTGGGACTATGCAAAGTAGTTGAAGAATACCAACAAGGGTAGTATAGTGAAAATTAAGTGTGATCTGGTTGGGGGTGAAGCAATATTTCAAAGGAATCATGTGTGTCTGGCTGCTTGTAAAAAAGGGTTTTTAGAAGGGTGCAAGCTTGTTGTTGGTGTTGATGCTTGCCATTTAAAAGGTCCTTATCCTGGGCAAATATTGACTGTTGTAGGAGTTGATGGTAATAATGGGTTTTTTCCAATTGCATATGCTATGGTTGAGATTGAAAGCAATGACTCATGGATTTGGTTTCTGTCTTTGTTGATTGAAGATTTAGGTATTACAAATGGTTTATCCTGAGTTTTCATAAGTGACAAGCGAAATGTCCTCATACCTGCCATTGAACATGTACTACCAACTGCAAAGCATAGAATGTGCATCAGACACTTGTACAACAACTTCAGAGCAACACATCTTGGTCTTACTCTTAAACACATGTTGTGGGCAGTTGCCAGAGCCACTACTATTCCATGGTGGGAAGCATAAATAGAGAAGATGAAACAAGAAGACTTGGAAGCTTGGAAATGGTTGGTGCAGAAACCACCCAAAAATTGGACTAGATCTCACTTTCATCCAAGATATAAGTGTATCAAGTGAGTCACATGTATGGTGGGGAGTTTGTTGTAGATCTAAAAACAATGACTTGTAGTTGTAGGAGAGGGGATTTATATGGCATACCCTGTGCACATGCTATTTCAACTATATTCCACAGAGATGAAAACTCCTATTCAATATGTGGATGAGTGTTATAAGCCAGAAACATGCATGATGTCATATCAACCAATAGTTCACCCCATCCCTTCTATGGATCAGTGGGTTAAGCATGGCTTGCCTCCACTTAGACCTCAATTTCATAGGCGACAACTAGGAAGACCCAAGAGAGTGAGGACAAAGGAGCTTGGTGAGGTTCAAGTACCAGCCCCAAACCCACCAAACCCTTTGCCTCCAGGTTACACTGCTCCACCAGCAAAACTTAGAAGACTCTTCATTAAGATTAGATGTGGAGCATGTGGAAAAGAAGGCCAAAAATGTGGAAGATAGGTTTTTTTAATTTTTTAGGTTTAGTTATGCAATGGTTTTTTTTATTATTTGGGTTTAGTTATGCAATGATTTTTTAATTATTTGGGTTTAGTTATGCTATGGTTCTTCCATTTTATAGTTGTGCTTGCATGTTGTGCAGGCTGAGGCAGCCAAAAATGGAAATGCATGCCAAAATGGAGTTGAAGCAACCCAAAATGGAAATGCAGGCCAAAATGATATTGCCCCAGCCCAAAATAATACTGCCCCGGCCCAAACTAATACTGCCCCAGCCCAAACTAATACTTCCCCAACTCAAACTTACACTGCCCCAACCCAAATTCAAGTTCCTAGGGGCAGAGAAAGAGGCAGAGGCAGAGGAAGAGGCATACGGAATCAAGTTGCAAGGCCCTCATCTTCACAACCAGTTAGTTGCCTATTATGCTTGCCCAACTCAGGTTTTTTATGTTTGCCTATTTAGTAATATATGTTGTTTGTGTTTTTAATCTTAGGTGGTAAGTGGTATAAGGCAAGGAAGGGCCAATCTGCCAATGACATCCTCACAACAAATGCCCTTGCAACCACCATCCTTTTCACTTACTCAAGAAACCACAAGTCGTAGAGTGTTTGGAAGATTCAAACACAGTGTCAAAATAGGAGGAACAACTTCAAAAACATGAACATATTGGATGAAGACCTATTTTGGATGAAGGCCTATTTTCGCCTTTTAAGTACCATGTGGATGTGTATTTTGGATGGAGAATAATAGATTGTGAAGTATGCTATTTGGTAATGTTATTTTGAAAGGTCTTTTAATGTTGGATTATTTAATGTTCATGTATATTTTGGATTGTATTTTGGTGAAGGATGTTGGATTAACTATTTGGTAAATGTTATTTACATGTTTAAGTATTACTTTTGCCATGTTTATTTGGTATTATACATTGCCCATTTCTACACTGCTCAAAAGCTTTTGAAGAGGATATATTGCTATCAAAACCTTATATAGGAAAAAGTTTTATACAATGCCAATTCAGCACAAAATCACCTTATATAGCAAAAGGTTTTATACATTGCCAATTCAGCACAAAATAACCTTAAACCCAGGTTTAGCCTAGGTTTTTGCCCAGATTTCTACACTAGCAATTCCTTCCCATATCCTGCCCACACTACCAATTCCTGCCCATTTCTACACTATGCCCATGCCATGAAAAGATTTTGAAGAGGATATATAATATTATACCTATTTCCTGCCCATTTCCACACTACCAATTCATCCATATTGATGACCAATATTACAAACATAAAACACAACAGAACAACAACCCACAACCATCTTTGTCTTTGTCGATAACTCAAAATTTCCCCTTCTAGTACAACAACTTGTTTACCCATTCCTAGAATTTGTTTTTCCAAAATCTTGATTTCTTCTTCCACTTCTCTCAGTTTTTGCTCTAATTTATTCCTTTCTTCTTCCATCAATCTGAAGTTCTCCGCCGTTGCTCTCAATTCGTCTTAGTCTTCTAAGTAACCCATGCAAGATTTCCTTTCCTCGTGGGCATGTTTCATTCTCCATCCATTCAAAAAAAATGCAACCCCCTTTTAGTGTTCTGCAATTGAAACAAAACCAAACACCAATTTCAAATCCAAAAAAATCATTTTTTACTTTAACCAATCTTCTACAAATACAAAAACTTACCCAATTATTGCAACATGCCTCAAATCTTCTTCCAGGATTCAGATCCATCCGTGAAGTCCGACGTTTGATTTCTGACCCACACTCGCAGTAACGATGACTGCAATTTGAATCTGTCGAACTCTCCGACATTTTTCCTTAGGGTGCAATTTGGGATACTCAGCACCCTTATGATTTCTTCATTTTGGGGATTTCTCTTATTGAGGGATTATGAAGCGAAGGAAGGAGACTCTTGGGACTCGAAAGGACGTTTTTACCCCTCATTTTGAAGGACAAATTAACAGAGTTTAAGGACATCTACAGTTAAAAACCCTATTTGAAAGGACTGTTGCTTAATTATCGGCCGACTCTTCCTTTCCTACAACGATGTCATTACAGGCAGAATGATTTGGGGGTGGAGGAAGGGAAGAGAGAGAGAGAAGGTTGTTGGACTGGTGAGTGTGGATTGGGTTTATTTTATCTTTTGCGTTTTATGTTTTATATTTCACTTTTTAATTATTTTTAAGGTCCCACTTTATATTGGTATCTTTTTAGATTTCCCATTTTGTTTACCCTCAAATTGGTATCTTTTAACGACAAATTAGATGAAATATGAGGAAAATGAATGGTAAGGGAAACTTGGCTGAAAAAGTTAATTCATATAGTTAATTTTCTTTATAAAATAATAATAATAATAATAATAATAATAATATGCTACAAGTTCAAGGGTATTTCATCAGTTTACCCTAAAAATATTCACCAACGATTTAGTGCAAAAATTAATTAATACGTCACTACACTCAAGTTGGCCAAAATTGATTTCCTCTATGGGAAATTTGGTTTAGGTCACAAAACATATTTTCAGTTTGGGAATGGAAAGTGATCCTATTGTTTCTCTAAATCTAATCAATATCATTAGTCTACAAATCAAGCTATTTTATATTCGGTTAGATCTAGACCTCGCTGACTAGAATATGTTTATTTTTGAAAAGTCTGCATTAACCGCAAATCGTTTTTTTGGAAAAGTAACAACCGCATATCTAAGATCACTAGTCTGCATCATCTAAGACCACCTCGTTGACTAGAATGTGTGTATTTTTTTAAGATAAAGACAACCGCATATAATAAGCTTTCTGGAATAGTCTGCTTTATCCTCTTTTGAGGGTTTGACGTGGTATGAGGGCTCCTGATGGTATCATTGTTGATGACTTAATCACATCGCTTTATTTCAAAATAGAAGAAGAAAAAACTTTAATGATGTATTTCAAGTTGACATTTTGAAGAATGTGTTCCTTTAAGCAGCATTTCAAGTTGACATTTTGAAACTTCTTTTGTAATGTTAGTTTTTGAATATGGATGATGTATCCTCTGTTTTACAATATTAATTGGCTGAATGATTGGATTGGGTACGTATTTGACTTCAAACTAATAAAAAGAGATTGGATTCTTTTGCTTTCTTCTTTCTCTCTTAAAAAAGCAATGATGTCCTTCGACTTAAAAAAGCAATGATGTCATCACTTGGAAACGACAATTCTCGAGCAACATCAAATTAATTGATATTCATAATTGCATATCTATACCGACTACTGAGGGTTGAAATTACCACAACCACCACCACCACACATTGCTTTTTTTCACAATATCCCTGACATTCGCATTAAAAGAGTACAGCCGAGCGGCTATACTCCATTTTTTAAATTTTTTTCCTGAAATTAATAGTATAGCCGGGCGGCTAAACTATTTAAATATAATATATAAAAATAGTATGGCCGCGCCGCTATACTCCCTTTTTTGGTTTTTTTTTTCAAATTAATAGTATAGCCGCGCGGCTATACGTTTTAAATATAATATATTAAAAGAGTATAGCCGAGCGGCTGTACTCTTCTTCTTCCCAGCGTGGCCTTCTCCTTCCTCTCTCTGCCTCGATCTCTCTCTCTCTCTGTCTTTCTTCCTAGCAAGCAGCGGATCCTGCGCGCTTCAACCGCCCTTCGTCCACGCCTCAACGGCAAAACGCCCGCCCAGATCTTCCTAGGGCCGCCTAGAGCCGCCTAACTCCTTGGCGCCTACCCCTGGATTCCACATCCTGGAAGGGTACCTCTTGGTGTACCGGAACTGACTTAAGTTGGTTCCAAATTGAAAGATAATGAGCTTTTGGTTGGAGTGGAATTAGGATTACACTGTTTTCACAGTCATGTGGCAGGTCACTGGTGAATCAACCTTTCTAGTCTGATGATCTTGTACTGCAATACTAACTAACAGGGTGCATGCAACCTTAGGCCGTTTCACTTGATTTTGTTCCATCTCCTGCATTTAAACATGTTTTTGCTTCTGCACTTTTTATCTTTGAAGTTGCAGAATCACTTGCTATATGGAACCAGACCTTATTTGCTATTATTTTGGGCCAGCTGCAGTAGGTGCCCCTTGAAAAGTCTATTAATGTCTCCATTTATATTAAAAATCCCCAATTAGAAGGGAATTTTGATTGGATGGTAGTATCTGATACTGCTAGCAAAACATCAAAACCGAAACCAAGTAATATAAAAAGAGTTGAGGTAAATGAATTGAGAAATGCTAACATTGTCTTGGAAAAAGTTCCATTTGAAAATGCTTCATAATATTTTCCTTGATCTCATCTTTCCTGAGTAAATTAAAAAAAAAAAGATAGAGTTTTCAAATAAGGATTTTGAATAGCTGGGTCCATATTAATTCCAATCAGGATTGTTGACCTTTATTTTCCCTGACGAGTCTTCAATTTGCTGTGTTCTTCAAACCTGACATAATGTGTTTTGGACTTTGCTGTGTACAGGAGGAGGAGGATGATGCTGGTCTCTAACTGCCTTGTTGCTAATCAACTGGTTGTACAGTGCTGTAACACCCTGGTAACTCATAATCAGATTTTTCTAGCAAATTGCAAGCGCCATATTTCTGTTAGTCCTGTAACAACTTGTCCAACGTGCATTTTACTCAAAATATCCACCCAGGTGTTTTATGTTGCTCCTCCACCAGAACCTACTGGAGTGATGTCGGGCAATATTAAGGGAGGATACGTCAAGAGCGACATTATGTACATGATAATGGATGATTTGGAAGTGAAGCCTATGTCTACTGTATCAAGGATCACATTGCTTAAAACGTTGAACTTTAAGACGGTTGATGCTTTTGAAGAGAAGGTGGTTGATCTTGACATTGAAGAGGTTTGATCTTTTTTCTAAAATTTGTTTTGTTTACAATAAATAGTGTTCTCTATCTGTGTCAATTGATTGATACTACATATTTTGTTTGTGCTTTTGCTTCTTAGGGCTTGAAGTTGGTGAAGGCATCGTTGGAGTCAAAAACCGCTCTTACAAATGTTTTCCTTGGTAATAAAGTGCATGAAGGTTTCAAGTTTGGTCCTCTAAAGAAATTGAGCTTTTGGAGGTTCATTTTAGTTTGTGGATTGAAATTTACTGTATTGGCTTGCATTGGATTATTTCAACTTTGGCCCTCTGATCTTATTGGTAACAAATATTATACCGCAAGATATGGTAAAAACGACCCAACAAGTCCAAGGAAACCAATCTGCTATCCCAATGATCCTTTTGCACTGTCGTTGATACAAAAATGAACAAGGAGAACCGATCGTGCGGCTGAAGTAAACTTGCTCATCTACACTGCTGCGCAAGGATAAATGTGGACTTTATGAAGCACTGATTCTCTAAGGCATTTGCACTGTTTAGTTTTTTGTTTTTCTGTTGATTTTATGTTTTGGGGCCCCATTTCTTAGTTTCTTTTCGGCATGATCAAATCTCAAACCAGTTGGCAGGAGACCAACTTTTATAACAGTTCCCTGTTTTTTTTTTTTTCATTCCATTTGGGCAGTTTTATGAGTTCATAGGCTTTAGTACCATTGATTCAGTTTGAATTGCTGTTGATGCTTTCTAAGGTTTGTCTAAGCTTATACATAGGTCTTTCTAAGGCTTTTTAGACAAATTATACACCTGTCGTCCTTCTTTGTCCTCTTTGCACAAAGAGTTACAAGCAAGCAAATAAGTTGTTGATTTTCTTTTCACTCTTCTGTCTTTGCATGTTGGCGGTTAACATGTGCATGAAACCCTTGTCATGTCACACAAATTCTTACTTCAATTTCTAAATACATCAAATGTAGTTTGTTTCTGAAGTGGCAGTTTGCAAGCTTATAAAAGCTTTTTGATGCCTTGCATTACAGCTCCTCCTATTTTTCACACCAGATTAATCCATACTCATGTGAACGTGTGACAAAATTACATGTTCTTGTGATTTATTATCTTCTCTCTCTTTACCTATCAAATTTCTCTCCTCTTACTTGATCTATGAAGTTCATCATCCATTCCAAAGAATAAACTCATCCATGTAATTATGGATCAGTCTTCTTGACGTCATCAATGGCAATCACCAAAAATAAGGTGAAACTCCTAGTCCATGTAAAAAAGCCACAAAATTCTGTTTGCTGTTAGTTGACTTTTTCACTGTCTTTGGCCTCTAAACTAGTGAAGTCTGAAGATACAATACCTAATATGAAAAGGCAAATACAAAACAAAACGAATTGTAAATCTGGCTGTTGGTTTAGTTAATGAATGCCAAGTAGTGGAAATAAATACATATATATTACCTATGTATAGGTAATGACAGATTTGTATATGTAGAGTTGCTTTGTGGTCGACTGATGATTCAGAGTCTCCAAGGTGACCCTCCACCTTCTTGATCCATTCACCATTGCCATTTTTGAATAATTTCGAATTTAGGATACTTCTTTTATGAAGTTTGGTCTTTGAAGGCTTAAGCACATATATGCTCCTTCTTCTCTGTCACCAAAAGCGCTAGCGTGAGTTTGAAGCTTCTGATTGACACAAAAAAAAAAGGCCCATTTTAATACAATGTTTAAGGCCATTTTACAAAATCCAACCCGTTAGTTATATAAAAAATTAGGTCAGATATCTTCTTCTTCCCAGCGTCGCATTCTCCTTCCTCGCTGCCTCAATCTCTCTCCCTCTCCGTCTTTCTTCCTAACAAGCAGCGGATCCTGCGCGCTTCAACCGCCCTTCGTCCACGCCTCAACGGCAAAACGCCCCCCCAAGACCCGCCAAGAGCCGCCTAGGGCCGCCTCGGCGGGCGCCCAGGCGCCGCCTAACTCCATGGCTCCTACCCCTAATGATTAGGGTGAAATTGCGGCGTTGTCCTCCCGCCTTGCGCCTAGGCCGATTTTTCGCACCTATTTAAGATTACAGTTTTTTAGTGGAAATAAATACATATTTATTCACTCATCAGTGGATTATATTCCCTATGTATAAGTAATGACAGATTTGTATATGTAGAGTTGCTTTGTGGTCGACTGATGATGAAGAGTTCAAGGTGACCCTCCACCTTCTTGATCCGTTCACTTTTGAATTTAGGATACTTTTTTTGTGAAGGTCTGTCCTTAATATCCCCTCAATGGCTACCACCAACAGCGCTAGCGTGAGTTTGAAGCTTCTGATTGACACAAAAAGCCACAAAGTTCTGTTTGCTGAAGCAAGCAAGGAAGTTGTTGATTTCCTTTTCAGTTTTCTGTCTTTGCATGTTGCAACTGTTACTAGCCTCGTCTCAACCGACGGTATGGTTGGTTGCTTAGGCAACCTTTACCAGAGTGTCGAAAGCCTTAGTGTCAACTCATACTTGCCACTCAATCTTAAGGACACCCTGCTCAAACCCAAAACAACAATTTCTGCGGCCAATATCCTTCAATTGCCATTGCCGACCAACAATGACTAGAATCTTTCTAATTTGTTCTACATTTGTGTGAGGTGCAGTAACCGTATTTCTGAGAGCTATGGAATCCCTTGTCCACAGTGCAGATCCCCGGTGTCTTATGTTTCTCCATCTGCTCCTATTGGAGCAACCTCCAGCAATATTAAGGCAGGCTATGTCAAAGGTGGTGTTATTTACATGATAATGGATAATTTGGAAGTGAAGCCAATGACCACCGAATCAAGTGTTGCAGTACTTCAAAAGTTCAATATGAAGGGGATTGATGCACTTCAAGTTAAGGAGGTTTCATGTCCTATATATTTCTCTAACTCTCATCAGTGGCTTGTTGATCTATTTAGAGAGCTAAATGTCTTACGTGTATATTTCTCTCTCTTGTAGGGTTTGAAGTTGGTGAAGGGCATCATTGGAGTCAAATACCGCTCTTACCAATGTCTTCCTTGGAAAGAAACAGCACAAACTTTTCAACTTTGGTCCTCTAGCGACATTGAGCTTTTGGGGTTTCATTTTGGTTTGTGGATTGGGATTTCTATTCTATTACTTTGGATCATGTAAACTTTGGTCCATTGATTCTATTGGTTTCATTCATTATATCTCGAATCAAACGGTCATCCGACCATCGCAACAATCATTCAGCTTTATCGTTGATCCAGATCAAATAAGGAGGCCAATTTTGTACTGAGGGGGGTTGAAGAAATCAAGTTCATCTATATGTACTTTTTCAAAACATCTGAAGAAACTGAAGAATTGTCGAAGCCTATCCTCCTCAGTGCAGCCGTTTCTCTACAATTGCATTTTAACTTTAATTTCACAACACATCAAATGCAGCTACTGCGTATATTTTAGAATTGAACTCAAACAATTTGGCCTGGTCTGTGTAGATTTATATTAAATGAGTATAGCCATGCGGCTAGACTCGGTGTTTTTTTGAATTGCTTTTGAAATTAATTGTGTAGCGGCGCCGTTATACTGTGTAAATATAATATATTAAAACAGTATAGCCACTCGGCTATGCGCCCTTTTTTATTTTTCCCTACATTAATAGTATATATGCCGGGTTTTTTTTAATTTTTATTCCAATTAATAGTACAGCCGAGAGGCTATACGTTTTAAATATAATATATTAAAAGAGTATAGCCGGGGGGCTATACGTTTATCATTTCAAACAGTACAACCGCGCGGCTATAATGGGTTCATTGATCACTACAACAACCTTATTGATGAATTAGTCGAGAATGGGATCACACCCTATGTGACCTTATTGCACTTTGACCTACCACAAGGTTTGGAAGACTAGTACTTAGGCGAACCGTTCTTTTGTGGATGATTTCAAGGCTTACACTGAAATCTGTTTTACAACATTCGGAGATAGGGTCAAAAATTGGATCACAATCAACCAATCAACGAGCAGTTGATCATTGCCAAATTTGGATATGACTATGGAATTGTTGCGCTAGGAAGGTGTTCTATTTCAGCAGGGTTTCCATGCGTATCGCCGGCAATTCAGCCACTGAACCTTACATCGTGAGCCATAACCTTCTCCTAGCCCATGCCACTGTTGTTGAGCTTTACAAAGCGAAGTTTCAAGAGAAACAAGGTGGACAAAGTGGAATTAGTCTTGTAGGACAGTACGTTTAGCCTTACTCATAATCTGCAGAAGACAGAGCTTCTGCTACCACAACAATCCTTTAGCTTCAATGTTGACCGAAAACAAAAACGAAGATCCTATTGGTCCTCAGGTTGAAGGAAACTCGATCCTCTACATTATTTATCCACAAGGTGTGAAGAAACTGTTGAAGTTCATGAATAAAAATTTTCAGAATCCGATAATCTACATTACTGAAAACGGAATTACTGAGCCAAAGGATAATAAACTTGGACTTGATGTTGCACTGAACGATCCACATAGAATTGAAAATAATCTGAGGCATTTGTACTGGATGAAGGGCAATGAAGAATGGAGTGAACTTGAAAGGATATTTCCACTGGGCTCTGTTTGATGACTATGAATGGGCTCATGGCTATACCTTAAGATTTGGGCTTTACTACATCGATTACAAAAACAATCTCACGCGCATTCCCAAAGAGTCTGCTAAGTGGCTCCCTAAATTCCTCAAAGGGTGAGAGAAGAGAATAGAGATCAAGCTCTAGATGCATGTTGATGAAGACCAAGTTCCAATGTTGAGTTTCATGTTTCACTGCAATAAAGGCAACGGACGTTTGAGTGCTTCAATTAACATCTATAATTAGGCAATACAAACATAACATTGGCATACAATTATTATATAAGGAATATATAGCCGTATGGTTCCCCTGTCTTCCTCATCACTAGTTCAATATGGCAGCAACCTCCAACGTTTGTGCGAGCTTGAAGCTCCTAATAGACACTAAGAGCCACAAAATTTTGTTTGCTGAAGAGAAAGTGGTTAATCTTGGCATGGAAGCTGCTGAAGGCATCGTTGGAGACATGAATATTCTGCAACATCTTGTAAATGAATAAATATATATGAAATGTCATGCTCGGTTATCTCATAAAGATAATTGAATAATCTATCCCAAAAAAGAAGAAGATTTCCCCCAAAATGAATAGGTCCTTCAACCTTTCCTCCCTTTCTTCCTCTATCAGAGCACTTCCAGCAGTTTGCCTCTTGCCATGGCAAGGGAGGGGCTAGGGCAGCTACTATTCACATGAATAGTGGCTGTCCTTGCCATATTAAGCTATGTGTGTTTCCAGCAGTTGCCCTTTGCCATGGCAACTACTATTCATTTTTTTGTTTTTTTCACAACTTTTTTTACTTAAACAATTATTTTGGATAATATTTTCGTGTAAGATTTTTGGGTTCCTACGTGTCAATACTATTCATATCGGATAAGATTTTCGGTTTCACATTTCCATTTCTCAGATTTCCATATCTTCTCTACATTTCCATTTCTCAGATTTCCATATCTTCTCTACATTTCCATTTCTCAGATTTCCATATCTTCTCTACATTTCCATTTCTCAGATTTCCATATCTTCTCTACATTTCCATTTCTCAGATTTCCATATCTTCTCTACATTTCCATTTCTCAAAATTTAGATTTCAATCTCCATTCTCAATGGCAGACATGGAAGAGGTTTTGGAGAGACAAGAGCGAGAAACTAGAGAAAGAATGCGTAGAAGAGCTGCAAGCAAGAGGGTGCAGAGAGAACTAGATGAGCAACTTGGCATAGCAGTGGCTTTGCTTGAGGAAGAAAACCAGAGCCGTCATGGTTCACGTGAAGGCCGTCGCCCGAATGTGGACAAACATATACATTCTCGGGGTAAGAATCTTCTAGAAGATTATTTTATCCCACAATCTCTGTACTCTGATGTTCATTTTCGAGCAAGATATAGAATGCAACCCCATTTGTTCAATAAAGTCATGCATGATATTTGCAATTATGATGAATACTTTGTTCAAAAGAAAAATGCTGCTGGAAATTTAGGACTTCTTCCCGAGCAAAAGTTCACAGCAGTGATACAAATGTTGGCATATGGGTCATCTGCTGATCAGGTGGATGAGATTGTCCGTATGGGGAAGTCCACTATTTTGGAGACCTTGGTGCGATTCTGTGATGCAGTGGAAACTCTGTACACCAGGGACTACCGCGCAGACCTACGCCCAGAGACCTGCAACGGCTTCTACAAAAAGCTGAGATTCGAGGCTTTCCTAGAATGATTGGCAGCATTGATTGCATGCACTGGCAATGGAAAAATTGTCCAACTACTTGGCAAGGGGATTACGGAAACAAGAAAGGGCAAAAATCAATCATCCTTGAAGCAGTTGCTAGATTCGATACATGGGTTTGGCATGCCTTCTTCGGAGTTGCCGGATCACAAAACGATTTGAACGTCCTGGGTCAATCCCCGGTGTTTAATGATGTATTGAGAGGTGAAGCCCCAAATGTCACATATGAAATCAACAATACCGTCTACCAAAATGGGTATTATCTAGCTGACGGCATCTACCCAAGGTGGACCACATTTGTGAAATCAATTCCACATCCCCGATCTCATACGCAAAAATTATTTGCTACCTATCAAGAGGGTTACAAAAAAGATGTGGAGAGGTGCTTTGGTATCCTCCAAGCGCGGTGGGCTATTATTAGGGGCGCGGCGTGTCTATTTGACGAAGAGGTGCTTAGGAGCATAGTGATGACTTGTATCATCCTTCACAACATGATTGTGGAGGATGAGTATGATTATCTAGCTGATGAAGTGTATGAGGCAGATCCCATGAACACGCCCTTGACACGAATTTATGAAAAACCCATGGGGCCAAATGGAGAACCAGTGCAGCATGAACCGTTGGTTCGAGACG